ATGAAACAAAAACCAACCAAACAAAAAAACCCAACCAAGCCCAACCATATAAAGAAAAACCCAAACCTGGTGAAAAAAAAAAAAAAGAGAAGATGATCACCTGAATACTGTCGAACCAGTCATCAATCCATTGCTTGGAAATACAGGCATGTATTACAATAACAAATCTTAAAATCAATATTTGATTCTGCCATTTGCAAAATAGTGGCACCATGCATTTATCAAACACAGGAGGTAACCTGAGTACTAATGATCTGGGAGAAAAGCTAAGTGGTAGTAGATCACAGTAGATAAAACAGTATTAGCACTACTAAGGGCCAAATTTGGGGCAATTTATTCTTTTCACTATCCTTTTCTTCATAGAAAAATTGAGTGCACACATACAAAAGGAGATTAAAATATTTTTACTATTGAAACACTATACTGAGCTTTAAAACGTATCATAATATGTAGTCTGTGGAGGACACTATGTTAACAACAAAAAAATTAACCCTATTTCAATTTACAGACAGATAAATTAGAGGAATTACTGGGTTACTATGTTAAAAACACTTAGGAAATAAATATCTTTTAAAATTAAAAAGTAATTTTCTTGAATTCATGGGTCAGATTCTGAGTTCTTTACACATCCATTTCACAGAAACCCATACTATCTATTGTACAGGAAGGACTATATTTGGATTTGAATTTAAATTCTGGGTTAGACTGAAGTTCTCATTTTAATGGAGGTACATCTAGGACAAAATGGAACTCAAACTTACTGTTTACAGCTGGATGAAACAGTCTAAAAGTTAATTTCTTATCTTGATTTATAGTGATTCTGCTGCCAGTAAGCATGTGCAACAGATCAAAAGATAAATTATGAGGAATCATGACATTTTATTTATTAGAATTACTATTCTACTACTTGATTTCTAAATGCATTTAGGAGACATTCTGCTTGATTGAGAAAATGTATCCTTAGCACAGCTCATTGCCTTTGTATATTTTAATATAAATTAATACATATATTTGTGTGTGTTTATATATATATTATGTATATATGAAGTTGAGAAAGGCCAAAAGAAGATCATAATTTCCCATATTCATATTTTTCCTATTTTTTTGGCTGCTATTGGAGGAAGGAAAACGAAATTAGTTTTCCCTTGAAGAGCTGGCAAATTTCTGCCTACTGAAAATGATATTTTCATCCAGCCAGAGAACTCCTTTCAAGCATTCTAGACAAACAAGGACATTTCTTTTACTAATATACAGTGATTGAGGTAACTGAAATTAGGTTAGAGTTTAAAAATAATGACTTTTTTTCAATGTCACACACTTATTCAGAAAAATACAAGCTTAAATATTTTCAGTCATGACAAGCCAAAAAGTTTTTAACAAAATCTGAGTAGCATAAAACTGGGTTTTAACTACTTTAATTGTTCAACCTCCACTTTGAATTTTAGGTTGAGAAAAAGAACACATCTAAAAGTGATAAGTAGTGGGATGAGTCTCATCAATGTACAAATGCAAATTCATTACATTATATTAAAAACACAAGTTAAACTAAATCATCTCTGTTCCAGACACTTTTTCATACCTGCAGATCTCTTATGAGACAGAAATTTTGCACTTTATGGATGGTAAGACACAGAATTTACAGTGCAAACCAAATACAAATGGAACTGGAATTTAGTCAGAATTATAGGAAAATTATAGGATATGATAGCATGAGCCAGTATTATAGAAAAGACAGATGAAAAAGAATACAACACTACTTAGCACAGAAAATCCTGAGCAAATTAAAAAAGGATGGTGACAGTTGTAAAAGTTCTAAGGGATGGGGAGGGCAGTACAGACAACTGTGGTATTTCCTCTTAGCTGATTTTTACACACTAAAAACTGAAGAGAGCAACTCTGTCCTGTATCCATGCATGCATCATGCATGCACCATGCATTGTGCTGCCAGGTAGACTCGTTTCTTCAAAATTCTCTGCTCTCTCCGAAAAAGGACTCTTTTGCAACATCAGCTGATGGCCACCGCCTCAGGCCAACACTAATGGTCAGAGTATCTACAGCTATGAACTCAGTTTCAACCTTGACACACACATTTTGCCACCTCTTTTCGTATGGTATATGATATATATATATTACATTTCAAACAGACACTCATTTATGAAGTTCAAAACGCTGAGTTAGGGAAAAGCATTTCCAAAGCTCAAACATAAAACTGGAATCTGCAAGTGTATTCATCAAAGTCTTGTTAACATCTATAGCACTCATGGCACCCAGGTGACATATATCAGGATGATTCCATACTGCCCATTCTTCCTGGGAAGCCCACCAGCCCTCACCTCTCTGGAGACAACTTCACAGTCTGTAGGCTGTCACCACAGCCACACGTCTACCATTAAGAAGAGCAAGATGTTGATATACACCTTACTCATTTCAAAACTCTGTCCTGCCAATTTTACCTCTGCTGTAGGCAATTTCTGATGTTTCAGAAATCTGATACATTACATAAGGTAGGAAAAGTACTTTGACATGCAGAAGATAAGTTTGTATTGCACTTGACTACAACACACAACTATAGCTACTGCCCAAAAGTAGTGTTATTAATATTTGAAATTAAATGTTGCTAATCCTTTAATTTCCAAGGGCCAGGAAGTAAAGACAGACTTTGAGGTCAAACAGAGATCTATGTATTAATTCAATATGACTCAGTAATGCAGCAGATGTCCCAGATGTCTACGCTTTTTAAAAATTTATCATCTTTTGAAACAATTTCAAGTTCTCAGCTTCACAAGATTCTCTCTATTGTTTCCACCAGTAAGATCTTCCTATGTTTTATTGGAAGTTTTATTTACTAGGGCATTGACCGCAACATTAAATGTTATCAAATGAAACTTTTGACCACTAGCTCTTGATTCATGTCGGTCAGCAAAACTGAGAAGCCATCACTATCTTTTCTATATTCTTTAGTGAATGATCACATTCCTTCTCCATTTTTCTCCTTGGCAAACTAAGCTCATAGAAGTACTTAGCATTAACAAGACAAGGCCTGCTTTTACAGTTCCCCGTGCTTTTAGTGGGTTTCTTCAATTTTTTTCCAGTATTTCAGTACAATTCTTAACCTCCAAGAACCAGATCTGTGAACAACATTCTAATAGCAGCACCACCAGCATTATTTGCTTTCTGCTTTTATCTGACCATTCTTAAGCAGTTAGGGCTTGTATTAGTTCTTTTACCAATGTCACACTGACAGTCATCCTCAAAATTCACCAATAAAAATGGAATTTATGAGATTTTCCATGGAGATCTGAAGAAGACATAGAGCTAATTCTTTACCTCCTTAACCTTCATAGAAAGGAATTATTCCTATTCAGGTCAACAATTTCAGTGCCACATACATTGTAAAATTATATTGGGTTTTAGTGTTTTTTAACAAGTTTTCATAGTGAATTAGATTAAAAATTAAAGGTAGTTAAAACGCACCTTGGGAATTTATTATAGAATAGGGGTCAATTATACCTTAAACATAGTTTTACCATTTAACAGTATTTTCAGATCAGAAAATTATACAAGAATATTCTTTCCATGGTCTCAAATCACAAACAAATTCTTGTAGTCTAGACACCACCCTACATCGTGCTCATCCAACACCAAGATTTTGAACACATCATTCTCTGTTTCTCAGCCCTATAGAAGTTCACAATCAGGATACTACAAGGAAAGAAGAGCAAACCAAAAGTGATATACAAACAACGATATTTTAAATTGTAGTGATAGGACAAGGGGTAATGGGCTAAAACTTAAAAAGGAGAAGTTTAGATTGGATATAAGGAGGAAATTCTTTCCTGTTAGGGTGGTGAGGCACTGGAATAGATTGCCCAGGGAGGCTGTGAATGCTCCATCCCTGGCAGTGTACAAGACCAGGTTGGACAGAGCCTTGGGTGACATGGTTTAGTGTGAGGTGTCCCTGCCCACAGCAGGGGGGTTGGAACTTGATGATCTTAAGGTCCTTTCCAACCCTAACTATTCTATGGTTCTAAATATTTTTAGAAATGCTTACAGGTTTGGACTTTTTCCTCCACATAAACCCATGCTTACATGTAAAATTAACTGAGGATAGTCTTCCTTCCCAGCATCTGTTAGCGGAAGAGGTCGTAACCTAGTTCTTATATCATATATTTTTATTTGGAAAACTGTTCCTGCAGACAAATACTATAGCAGCCACTTCTATTCACAGAACCTGTTATACGCATCCATTATTAAAGTCAGTATTTCCTAGCTGCTTAGAATTCATGCAGAAAGCAGAATGTCTAGATGATGGAGCAAATATCCATTTACAGAACAAGAAAAATATTAGCTCTGAAAATAAAAACCTCACAAAGTATAATTCAAAGCTAAATACAATTACAAATCTTTGGCAAATAAAACCAATGTCAATTAAACAAACATATTAAAAAGTTATTTTATCTTTAAATATGTGATTTAAATCATATGTATTCTATAATATGATGTAATTGTTCCTCTAAAATGACTAATATATTTTAATTCATTTTTGAGAGTGAAAGTATGTATTTATCTTGTAATAAAAATATGATTGAATACACTCCAATAATTAAGGAAATCTAACTGACTATAATAACTTGTCATACATAAGGAATGAGGGTACCAGAAGAGACTTATTCTGTTGTGAACTGTACAGGAACTGCTTGAAGTTTTTCTAGATTTCAGCCTTATCTGAGATCCAAAATTAGGAGCAGATGTCAGAAGAATAAAAATGTAACTCTTTAAATAGGATATAAAAGACACTTTTCCAAGCATTCATGTTAGTTCATACCACTGAGCTTAAATGAAGTCTCCATAAGTTTTGAGTTTTATTATTCAAAAAGTGATCATTTGTGATTACTTAATAAAATTGAATAATCCTCCATGATTATATACAGACCAACAGTAAAAATTACATTTTTCTTCTAAGGCAGCAGAACAAAATTAAATGTATAAAGTAATCTTACCAAAACTTTGCACTGCACATGTATCTTTCTTTCTGGTGGTGCAGGTATGCTGTTAATCTTTAAGGAGAACCACACTTTGCAATGTAAAGATCTTCCTCCTATGTTAAAAAGAATAAAATGTCTTTACAAATGCTCTTATGAGATGACCAATTCTAGCAGCATTCAAATCAGTGAGAAATTTGGACTTTTAGCAGGAATGCCAGCCATTGTTCACATTGAGACAAAGCAAATCTTGAACTGATTTAATAGCTGTCAACCAGCTGCATTATTTAATTCTTTCTTGTCTGGATTCAAAATAGTGACAAAATCAATATGCACACAAACCGAATGGAAATCACACTTTGGCAAAGTAGTTTTCCAGACTATCGCATTGTTTGAGAATTTCAAATATCATTGATTTGTAACTTTTTTTTCTTTAACAAAGACAATGCTAGAAAACTTATAAAATTGTGGGTTTTTTTATTAAAAGCTCATCCACCACAGATTCAAAGCTGCAAGTTATTCATTTAACAGATCCGACTATTCAGTTACACAGAATACATCCTCAAATACCTATTTGAAGAAACAGTAATTTGTACACCATCAGGTGTTGAGACAGGATGTCCTGAGTTATTGTAGTAACAAACAAGTTGGCAAGAAAGAGACCAAGAATGCTCAAAGATGCTAAACACATGCATCAAAACATTGATGCATCAGCATTGTCCTATTAAATCAGATTCATTATCAACCTTATCCTAAGCTCTGTTATCAGTAACTAGTAAAAATCTGTCCATAAAAAATGTTCAATAAAATCTTGTAAACTCACATTTAATTACACAATAAACTATCAAGAAATTAAAAATATTCCTTTTAGTATTTTGTATTACGTAGTCCAATAAGAAGAGATGGGAAATTCTAACATTATACACAAAAGCTGAATTGCATCAGACACTCCTTTTGAATTTTGGAGATCATTTATGAAGTCACAGAAGACTATTTACCTCACACCTGTATGCTCATGAAATTCTACTGATAGATTTTAAATTCTGATGATTCCGATGATTATGAAACCCTCAAATGGAACTCGAAGGTATGTTACTACTAAGGCCAGAAACAGGGAAGCATTAACTACCAGTAGCCATGGGAAGCATAGGCAAACAGACCTTTGATGTAGAGGAAGTCTGACAGTATTTTTGACTGCCAGATTGACAGTATTTTTTAAATTTTATATTATATCTACCAAATTAAATCAAAATTAGTTTACCTAATATGACCTTTGGTATATCACAGAACTTAAATTCTGTTCAGTTACAATGAATTGTTGTGCAGCTCCACACAAATGATCTGTGTTTTGATAAAGCATATTTTCCAGATAGACTTTGAGTCTTGATTTGAAGATATCCACCAGCAGTTTATTCTGGTGGCTAATTGCTGGCATTGGAGAACATTTAAATATGAGTTTCATTTCTGATTTCTATTAGATTTGCTTCAATAACCAGCCAAAAGGTCTTGCAATGACTTTAACAGATTTAAGAGATCTAGCATTATGTATCTAGCATTTTCCTGTATTTAGAATAGTCATGAAAATTAATAACATCAGCTCTTCAGTCCTGGTCAGACAGGCAAAAGAGACTGAGCCCAAAGTCTCTCATCATTAGGCCTGATCTCCACAACACATATTTCATGTGGAATTTTCTTTGCAAGTTGTTGAACGGTTGTTCAGCACCCTTTAATAATGCATACACAAGAACTGCTTGCAGTATTCTTGTTTGTCAGTATATTGTATGAGATGAAAATCACCTTAATCCTCATACTCGCACTTCCTTGAATTATACACTAGAGAGCTATATAACCAGTTCTGTTTTACCACAGCATTAGTCTTGGGAGCTCCTACTGTTTTTGTTTTATGCTGTGACCACAGCTCTTCTCAGAGGCACTGATTCCCTTATCGCAGTTCCTCACTCTGCATATATGACTTTGCTTCTAAACTGTATTTCCAATAAAACTGTGTCTGGTTGGTTTTGATTATATTAATTTCTTTAACTATTCATTGAATACTTTCTGTATTAGCTTACCCATTCTTTCATTCAGGCTAATTTGATATGCATACAATTTACTCTTTTTTTTAATACCAGCAGAGAATTACAGTCTTCCAGTTTCTGAAACAGCCTCAGTATCTTAGGATCTATAAAAATTAACATCATTGAGTTCATCTCAGTGAATGAGATCTCAGAATTCATCTTCTGAATGTCCGTTGAAGGATTCTGACATGCATGCGACCTTGAGTTTAATCAATTACAAATGAAAAAAATAGTATAGATTTGTATATTATCCTTACACAAAAACAGAACACATGATCTGAGACCTGACATAAAAATTCTCCATTAAAGACTGAAAGAAAATCAAAGGGTGCCCATTGCTTGGGACATCACATCCTTCCAGAATGCAGTCAGACTGTAGGAAAGGGTACAACACAAGTCTAAAAAATGCAGGTAGGAAACAACAAAGGGAAATGTCAATGGTAAAGTTCCATTTACACAGGATACCTGATTAAACAGCAGAACAAATGCATTTATTAAAGTAAAGAGACATGTTTTCAAATTTTCAGGTCAAAATGTTCAGTTTTGACTTCAAGTATTTAGAGCTATTGAAACATTTTTCATTTTAGAAAGGAACTCTACATTTCTTTTTGTACTTTATATGCATTTGAATTTAGATTGATATCTCTTTAAATTTTCCTCATTGCAACTTATATGATATACCAAAACCATTAGTTTTTCGCCCAGAGAGTCGAACAACCTTTTGTCATCCAGTCAGTCTGGTGTATTTAGTGATGCAAATAAGCTGTTCCCCCTGTGCACGATCTCTCTCTTTTTTTTTTTTTTTTTTGCAATGGTTTAAATGTTATGAAATTCTGCTAAACAAATCAGTGTTGTAAAACATAAACTTTTAATCCTATACTTCGCATCATGTCCTGAAGAGGTAGCAGTTTTGAAATTCCCTCCCTTATACTCACAGCATGCTTTGCTCTACTCACCCGGATGAGAATACATTACTACCACATCAGCCACAAAATGAAAAATCTGTTCTCTCTTTCCCCTTTCCTTGTCCTTTCCTTAAAATTGCTTTCCATCCTCTGTCTGCTACACCAGTCATTAAATGTGATGTCAAGCATCAGTGGTTATATATCAGCTTAAAAATAGAAAAGATTCTTTCCTCCTGATTGGGACACAGCTGCCCATCATTCAGCTACACTACACATCACTGAGGATGAAGGAAGACTCTGCCTGGTCTGCTGAAAACTGTAGATTTCTAGGGTGTTTTGGGGGTAGAGGAGGTAGGGACACAATGGGGAAATTGGAATTATGCTGCTAAATACTAAAATATCTATTTGAAATATTTTATCCTGATTTTGCACACTTCTCATATTGACATCAGAAGTATGCTTATTTAAACAAAAAGCTTAATTAAAATGGTATTCTCAAATTCAATGTGTGTTCTTTCCATAGTATTTTTACCTAACATTTGCAGAGCTAATATAGCAAATAAAAAAAAAAATATTACATTTGATTCCAGCTTTAAGTAAAACATCAACTACGCTCTTAGATGTGCCTTCAAGGGTATGTTTTTTAGCAATAACAGGCAAAGGATCTATTTTTAAGATCTATACAAAACTTTACATGCTGGTAGTTATTTAAATTCTTTTGAAGTGAAAGAATTTGAGAACTTTACATGCTGTTCCCACAGTATATGACTGTACAGAATTAAAAATATAAATTAAGACATTTTGTCTAGTTCCCTACAATATGTAAATATGTAATAGTTTCCAACATGTAAAGAGCTTACACTGCTAGCACAAGATAAATCAATATTTAGACTTCATTCTGCTCATGTGCAAACACAACATTCACAAGTAACCAACCCCACATACAGCCATCTCTTGAAGGACAAAAGCTGCTGTTCATGAGATCAATTAATATGTCATATTTATTCTGTTTTTCATTTTTGATTTAGAATATATCATCAGACTAGCTATTAAGCACATGTGATGATTTATGCTCATTTTTTAAATTTGACAGGCCTTAGCAATCTAAGAATCACAGTAAAAAGACCTAACATTTCTTCCGTAAACTTTCCTGACAATTTAAGTTTCTCTACCATGTTAAATCCACAGAAGTTTTTTGCATATTTTGTTTTTCACACCTCAAAGTTTATTTCAGATACAAAACTAGTTACACTAATCTTTCCAAAGGCACAGAAATCCTTTAAGGTTTTGGATAGCTCTTTTAACAGTGCCTCTGGATAAATCTGGTTGGTTCATATGTGTGAGGTACAAATTGTTATTTTGCTGTTTAAATAGAGCCATCACTCCACTGAAAACTATTTATAAATTGAATCCTGTTTTAACTGGCTCGAGTTATCTCGCTTCATTTAGTTTCCAAGTGTAGAAAAATTGCACCTAATTTTGCAGGGAAAGTTATAAACACTATACACATTAAGAAAATGTTGCAATCCTATTATGTTAAAAGGTCAAAATGATGTAAAAAGGCAGACACTAATATTCTTACGATGTAAGGAATAGACATCATTGGAAAGGGAATGCTTCTATAATTCTTTTTTTCAAGGAAATTATTAATTTAAGGTTATCACCTTTATCCTTGAGTTCATGAGTTTTCTCACCCAAGGGCTATAGTTTTTCAATAAATGTAATCAGTATGTATAGCTTTTAAAATTGTTTGCGATTTGTATGACAAAATAAGCTTTGCTCTCAGCTGCCATTTTATGTCCATGAACATATCTGAGCAACCCTAACATTTCAACGAATATCCATTTCATGTATCCCTTACAACATCTCTTGAAAAAATATTTTAATATCTTTCAAATATTAATCCTGTTCTTAAAGGATATGACGTTATAATTTGCTTTGAGCAACTCTCAGAAATTTAGTGTGCCTTACATTGTGTATCGAACCTAGGTAATAGAGTGGACAGTACTAAAGTGATGTTGAGGTTGAAAGACTGCATCAGTTTGTCCACCTTAATCAGAATTAATGTATGCAAGTGCTGCAATTTAAAATTAAATTATGATATTTTCATATCATAGTAATTTTAAGTAAAAA